AAGAAAAGGAAAGAAACACAGAGAGAAAAGAATGAGAGAGAGAGGAGAGAAAGGGAAAGAGAGAAGCAGGGAGAGAAAAGAGAGAAACAGAGAGAGAAAAGAGAGAGAGAGGAGAGAAAGAGAGAGGGAAGAAAGAGAGTGAAAAAGAAAAAAAATAGAGAGAAACACAGAGAGAAAAAGAGAGAGAAAGAGAAAGAAAAAAGAGAAAGAGAGAGAGAGAGGGGGAGAGGATGACCCTGCATTTAAAATTATTTCCTCTTTTCCCATCAAAACATAAAATTCAATTTCAAAAAAAAATTCCTCACCTCTCTTCATTCGTGTACTATCAGAAAATGAGTTTTAAAGATTAAATTATCTGGCGGCACTCTTTTCGGGGAAAACGTACTGGCTTAAATTCCACCTGCTGGATTTCGTTTCAAATGGTGGGAAAATAACAAGTTGCACATTGCAGCCCTTAGGTGTATTTGCTCAGAAACCTGTCCTTCTGCTTGTTCCAAGTTAAGGAGGTTGAGGTATGCATCCAGAAACACCGACAGCCTCTGTCGAGGAAAACCATCTGTCTTCTCGGCAGGTGTGCACCCAAATTCCTTCTCTGCTCTGTTTTCAATAGATCCAGAAAAACCAACACGTCCCTTCCCTTCTTTTCTACTTGTCGAGGAAATCAAAAGCCCCGTCTGAACTGTCATTCTAATTATTTACTAGGAGTAAGAAATACGAATTCACTTCATTAGAGCAAATGGCTCCTTGAAAACGACCCTCAAGGAGTGATATAAGCAAAGTACCAAAGGTCAGGGGGGAAAAAAACGAACACATTTGGGGCATGTTCAGTTTCAGAGTTGTAATTCGCAGTTTAGTCTCATGTCACTGTAAAGATACAAAATGGGTTTATGGTTGATTTGCACGCAGGACTCATCACTGGGCTTCTGGGCATAGACATTTCCTGGGATTTATTCTGCCTTTTTTCTTTTTTTTTGGCAAACGGATTGAGTCTCCCCGAGCCTGGGTAGCTAGCAGGGCATCGAATTGGAGAAGTGTGCACCCGAGCATGAGCACAATGGGAAATACATAAGTTGTGCTAAATGGAGCAGGAATTCTGCCAGCTTAATAAATAAGCCAATTTGAAAATAAGAAATTGCATTCCTGAGGGTTGGTTATTTATTATTTATTTACTTATTTATTTATTTTGTTTAAATAAACTGGTTAGGTGGGCTGAGCATTGAAATGTTCGTCATTGGTCTATGACAGGGTTTGTTGATCTTGAGCAGTTTGAGATGGGTGGACTTCAACTCCCAGAATTCCCCAGGCAGCCCTTTAAGATATCTGGACTTCAAACTCCCAGAATTCCGCAGGCAACTTTTTAAGACACCTGGACTTCAACTCCCAGAATTCCCCAGCCAGAGCATACTGATTTCTATGCTGTCCACATAGGGATAACAGCCCAGCTGCTATTGCAACCGTTCAGTTAAATCTATATTATACGGCACAAGAAGAAGAATATATATTGGAAATTGGAGAAACATTAAGTTCTGATATTACCTCCAAAGTTATAAAAAGAAAACAGTGACTGAAAATTTTTTCTCCACCCAATTACTCTGACAAAGTCTCCAGAGGAAATAAATACCGCAACTTTTTCAATTCCATGCCCTCCCAATTTTTGAGCATTGGAAAAACAAGCAACTCTAAAATAGTTTCTTTTTTTTAATCGAGTAAAAAAAAAACGTTAGGAGAATGTTAAGCATGGAAACAGAGACCCCAAATAATTTTGAAGCGATAGATTGCAGCTGTTTCCACTTATTCTGTTTCAATCTTATTATCTCTGACATAGAAACATGCTTTCGAGTTTGGGGAAAAAGCATGACGGAATACTGTAAAGAATTCCTTGTTTTCTCCCCTCTTTTTCGCCAGTGTTTTTGCTTTTTTTTTTTAAAAAAATAAAGTATTATTATTCGGGTCTGATTTCAATTTTTAAACCGAAATGCAACAATAATTGTGAGAACAATCAGCTCCAGAAACCAATGGTATCCCTTCCAGCTGGACTATATCGATGGCCAGAATCAGAAAAATCTATTTTACCCCAGCTTAACAACACATCCACTTCCTAACTATCACAAGTGTATGACACAAAAGGCATTTATAGATCATATCCACTCAGTCTTCCGTCCATGGGGCATACCAGTTACTTCATTAGGACACAATGCAAGTGTCCTCATCTTTCACCAATTTCAAATCCTGACAGTCAAGGAGGTGGATGGGTTTGTTGCTATAGAAATGGCTAATACATATGATTATAAAATCTGAAAAGTCGAGACTGCGTGTTATTACCTTATTCTACTGTGCCGAAAGAAGTCAAATGCTTTCTTTTTTCTTCTCCCCTTTCCCCTACGCCTTTTCCTTTTCCCCCTTTCCTTCTTTTTCCTTCTTTTCCTGTTATTTTCATCGTTCCTTTGCATTTCTGTACTTTATATTCTGATAAACTAATAAAAATCCTCGAATCGGGACACGAGTGAGCACACAGAAGAAAGAAAAATGAATTACACAACACCAGCCTGCAGAATGGATGGTGGGTGTTGGAATGAACCAAAGCTTATCACTTTAAGATGAACCCGTCATTAAAAAAAAAAAGTTATTTTCACCCTTAAAAGATTGTGGGGAGCTCCTGGCTGCCTTAATGAAAGCTAAGCAAAGTTAAGAAAAGTCTTTCAAGAAATTGTTCGCATGACAAAAGTCTCCCCATTCCACTTCTCCCAGTCTTTGGTGTTGGGATAAACTCCCCAGTTGGCTAGAAACTGGGAATGCAACACAGTTGTGGCAGTGTTGCATTCCCAATTTTTCCCCCAAAATACTATGTCTTTATAACAATCTTGCTCCTCTTCTAACAGCCTTTATTCCATTGAACAATGATTGTTTTTCCAGAGGCTTGAAGAGAGACAAGATTTCCAGCCCAGTTCTCGAATATGCATTTAATTGGAAATCTAGGGAACTGAACCTCACAACTTCTTGGAAGCACAACACACAAGCTTTCCCCAGGAAAATAATAATAATACTGATGGCAATTTTATGCTGGAATTTAATCCAGGGTCTGTTTAAATCCTTCACAGGCCTCACCTTTCTCCCACTGTCCTCCAGTATATGCTTCTTCCTTGGATAAAAATAATTTGGTAAAAAGTGTTCATCTCCTTAAAAAAAATTGTGCCTTGCATTTTCCCAATGGGCTGTACAAACTTTAGCGAAGCCTTGCAAACCTGAGAAATAGTGCAACCCGAATTGTAAACCCTGAGAATATAAGATTATGGTGGAAAAACACAGTGTGTCATTTGGAGATGGCTCCTATCCATGAGACATTACTGATATAAAATACTTTTTTCTTTTTTAAGAAAAACCTTCAAGAAAGGATCTCACTTCAGGTAAGTCCCAGGGAGGTTAATAGCCATTGTGGTCATTCTAGTTAGAAGCCCGCAGTGGCCTTTAGACTCATTTTGAGAGGCACAATTGTATCTGTCACTATAATAGAAGCATCATGCTTAAATGGAAGTTCTCCATTGAGATCTAACAATAGAAATTTGGAAAAGGCTGAATCCCAGATGGGTGGGGATCCTCTTTCAAATATTAAGGACCGTTCAAGCAAGTAAAGATGAGTGGGGACTTAGTCAGACTGACAGAGTTGGAAGGGACCTTGAAGATCATCTAGTTGAGCCCCCCTTCCCTCTCCCAAGCAGGAGACCCCACACCATTTCTGACTGATGGTAATTTAATCTCTTCTTGAAAGCCTCCCACCACTTCTGAAGACAACTTCAGTTTCATGGGTTGATGGTTCTCACTGTCAGAAAATTTCTCCTTATTTCCAGGTTGAATCTCTCCTTGTTCAGTTTCCATCCATTGTTCCTCGTCTGGTCTTTGGGTGCTTTGGAAAATAGCTTGACCCCCTTTCTCCTCCTCTGTGGCAGCCCCTCAGATATTGGAAGACTGCTCTCCTGTCTCCCCTGGTCCTTCTCTTCATGCAACCATTCTTCGTATATTTTAGCTTCCAGTCACCTAATCCTCTTTGTTGCTTTTCTCTGCATTCTTTCTAGAGTCTCAACTTCTGTTTTATAGTGCGGTGACCAGTGATGCGATTCAGCCAGTTCACACCAGTTTGGGAAAAACGGTTCTTAACTTTTCTGAGCAGTTTGGGTGAACTGGTTGTTGGAAGGGCAGAGAACCCCTTGTTAAATTATTTGAATCCCACCACTGATGGTGACCAAAACTGGTGCAGGATTCTAGGTGTGGTCTTACTCTCTCGAGGACCTTTTTCCCCCCCATCATGGTTTAAGAAGACCTTGAAAAATCCAACGGAGCAGCACACCCAAGAAGAGACTGTTGTTAGGAATAAACAATGGCAAAATCTGTTAGAAACCAGGGGTGTTGGTGTCCCCGAGGACACTTCTAAGCCTCCAATTGCTGAGAACACAGACTTCCCCTGGGAATTCCTCCCCGTAGAGAAATTCATTCTGCAATGAATGGATGCTTCACCAAGGCTATGAAATCTCTAGGCAAACAAAGATGTGACTTCGGCATTCAGGAAAGGAGGCAGCTCCACCTGAGAAAGCGAGCTTTTGAAAAACAGGGGAACCTTAACCAAACTAATTTAGCCATCCAACGGGTTTGGTTTTTTTTTTTTTTGTTTTCGCCCACCTCACACAGAATACGCCTTGCTGGGTGCTCGGTTTCACCCCACACGCGCCCTCTGAACATCGAACAAAACAGCATCACGATCTTTGTGCAAAAATTTAAAAAAAATAACACACACACACACTCTCCAACAGCTTTGTGCATACTTTGTAAGAAGGGGAGCTTGGCTTCTATGGCACAATTGTGCTTTGCAAAAAAAAAAAAAGCTTTGTTTTTCTTTTTTTTTTTAAATAATGGTTGCTCCGGGATGGCTAATTTTAAACGATACACTTGCAAGAGTTATATACCGTCCACCATTGAAGGGCATTCTGCGAGGATCGTGGGGGTTTTCCTTTCCTTTTTGTTGCAGGAACAAAGGGACAACTTCTGAAATGGACAACTTCAGCTTTTGATGGCTCGCAGAAACTGGGGAAGGTCAAATAGGAGTTTCATTCCAAAGCGATTCACCAGTTGAACAGGATGTTTTGGCCCAGTGTCATAAAGTAAATTTGGCTGCTGCCCCCAGACTGAACCGATGCAAAGAATACCTTGAGGGGAGAGAGATAAGGAAAGTGTCATTCTACCTTTTTTAAAAAAATAAAAATATGGAGCATCACTGGATAATATTTCATACACTTCAAATTGCATAAATATGTTAGCCTGCTTTCATCCATAAATGCAGGCAGTTCTTGGCTTACAACCACAACTGAGCCCAGAATTTCCATTCCTTAAGTGAGCCATTTGTGAAGTGAGTCTTATGACCATTCTGGCCCCAGTTGTTAAGTGAAACACTGCGGTTGTTATGTTAGTAACACAGTCATTAAGCGAGTCTGGCTCCCCTATTGACTTTCCTGGGTTAGAAGGTTGCACAAGAAGCTCCATAGACAATATGGGGGGAAACCCAGTCTTTGAACAAGATTCTCACTAAGTTCTTCAACCGGAGGACCTTCTGCCTCTCTTCTAGGAGCACAACTAAAAACACCAGACCTTTTCTGGAGCAAGGAATGGATGAATTCCTTTCCACCCTCCCAACTTCTGCATAAACTGCATCATGGGAAAAATCTGTTCTTCTATCAAGATTCTCACAAGGTTCTTCAAGCAGAAGGCCTTCTGCCTTTCTTCTAGGAACACAACTCAAAACACCAGATGAAAGGGATAGATGAATTTCCTCCCATCCCCCCCAACGTCTGCATAAATTACAATGTAGGGGAAATCTAGTCTTCTATCAAGGTTCTTCGATGATTGTCAGAAGGTTCTTCGACCAGATGTCTTGTCTCTCTTCTATAAACACAACTCAAAACACCAGACTCCTCTTTTGGAGCAAGGGGTGGATGGATACCCACTTACCCCTCCCAACGTTTGCATAAACTACAATGTGGGGACAATCTAGTCTTCTATCAAGGTCCTTGGAAAGTTCTCAGAAGGTTCTCCGACCAGATGTCTTGTCTCTCTTCTAGGAAAACAACTAAAAACAGCAGACTCCTCTTCTGAAGGAAGGGGTGGATGAATTCCCTCCCATCACCACCTCCCACCTTCTGTACCGTATACCTTATCGTTCCTTTCGCAGAGAAATTTCAGCTTCTGAGCTTTCTTGTGCATAAACACGCCTTCCAGACATCCCGTTTCCACAGCACGCAGTTCAATTGCTTTCTCACCCCAGCCCATCACTTGATTGGACTGAAGATAAGCTTTTAGAAAAAGAAAGAAAGAAAGAAAGAGTTAATGGAGCTTTTTCTTTAAAAAGGAAAAAAAGGAAAGCCACAAAAACAAAGACAAGTGGCAGAGAAAGGGCTGAATAAATGGCTCTCTTCGTGGGAAGCTGTTGGCAATAGTAATTCCCGCCCCCCCTTATTTCTGGTATTTGCAGTGAAGGCTCCATCTGATAACAAGAAGCATTACAATCTTGTGCGACTTCGGCTTTAGCCCGGACAGGACTGTTTTATATATACTTGGAGCCAGAAGGGAGGGAGGTGTGTGTGTGTGTGTGTGTGTGTGTGTGTGTTTCCTGGCTTTATTTTTAATGGGCTGAACATCTTGGCTCTCGTGTGTACCTCGAATTCAACTTTTTAAACGCTTTCTACTGTCTTAAGTCTTGTTTATTGTTTTAAAAGGTTTCTAAATTTTTATTTTTTGAAGGGGTAGACTTTTTTTAAAGTTTAAATTGTAGAGTTCTTAATTGTAGATATTCTGGGTTGTGAGCCAGCCAGAGTCTTTTACTGAGATGAGTGGCTACTAAAATTGAACAACCAACCAACCAGCCAACCAACCAAACCAACCAACCCAACCAACCAACCCAACCAACCAACCAACCAATCAATCAACCCAACCAATCAACCAGAAAACCAAACCAACCAACCAACCAAACCAAACCTACCAACCAACCAAACCGACTGACCGACCAACCAACCAACCAACCCAACCAACCAACCAACCCACCCACAAACAAACAATGGCAGCCCCCTTCCACCCTCCACAGCTGTGTGGCAGCTTTTAATAAGGATTCCAAAGCTGACAGCAGCATGGAGGCTTAGGGAGGACAAAAAACTGCCCCCCCCCCAAAGTTCAAGAAGGCCGGAAATGGGCCTGTTTCTGGCTTCCAGAGAGCCTCCGGAGCCTGGGAATCTCGAGGAAAGCCTCAGGAGCCCAGGAGGGAGAAAACACCCACCCACCCACCATGGTGCAGGAGGCTGACTAGGCCACACCCACCCCTGGAAAACACCTTTTGGGACACTAAGGGAACGTTTTACAGACAACACAATGTCATACCATCAACAAGGGGGGGCTCAACGTCAGGACCTCCAAAACTGTAGGCATCTCCCCCCCTCCCCCAGCTCATCTGCAACACGTAGCTAAATTGTGACCAGGAGGGGAAAATAATTTATATTTTGATTGCATTCTAGTTGTGTTCATTGTTTACATTGGGGCTTTCTTCCTGCCGCCACCTGCTGCATTGCCCACATTTGCATTATCTTTGACCTGCCCTCCAAAATCTAGAGAGAGAAAAAAAAAAAAAAAGCTAAACCTTCATTTGAAAGTTGTCTCAGTATCACCTGATCTCTCCCTAAAATTTGAGAGAACCGGTGAATTTCCCTCCGTCTGCGAGATCCTGTAAGTCCGTTGGCTAATGCCAACATGAAACACGATTCTCTTTATTGGAAACTCAACCTCCCTTCCTAAGAGGAAGCTACCCTGAGTCAGGAGAAGACACCAAGATCGTTCGGAGTTTGTTTTCCTTCTTTGCACATCCCTCCTTCCCCCCCCTCCACCCGTCCTTATTATCGCAACCTCTTCAATCTGAAGCTCAGGTCCAGGGATGGTGTGGTTTATATGAATCAGCAAACCGCACAGGGAGGAAGGCTTTCCAGCTGACATAAGGAGAGAAATGCTTTCATAAATAACCGGTTAGATAACATTTCCAGATGTTGACGGGCATCCAAAAAATACGGACTGTTTGTTCTCGCCGAGGCAAGCCCGAGCTTGCCCCATCTATCGTTCGATCACCAGGCTGCAATCCCAGAGCTGCAGCTTCCTATAAATAGATGATGGCATCTGCTGCTTGGACCTTCTAATCTCCGTGATGTAGCTGGCAGAGAGGGGAGAAAATGAATGTTCTTCCCTATCCAGCTATTTTTTTCCCCTTTAGTAGTTTCTGGATCGGGGTGTCAGCTTTGGAAACCATATTGAGATCATATGCTCCCACACTGACAGGCGTCCCCCCTTGAAAAAAAATCACGTCCTAGCATGGGGTGTTGTTTTCTGCTTGATTGTTTGTCTGCTGTCAGTCCCTGCTTATCTGGGTTTTGGCTGCTGGAGTGGATGTGTTCTGGTTTAAACAAGGAGCAAACCCCACTTCCTTCTAGCACTGATGAGGTTATCTAATCAGGTAATGAAATGTCTTCCTTGAACAGGGTGTTGTTTTCTGCTTGATTGTTTCTCTGGCGCTAATCCCTGCTTATCCGGGTGTTGGTTGCTGGATAGCCTGTGCTCTGGTCTTAAACAACGCCACTCTCATTAGCCCTGATGAGGTTATCTAGTCAGGCAATGAAATGTCTTCAAGAAAAGGACCAAGCTCAGAGACCACCAAGGCCTCCACAATTTACAATCCGAGCTACAGAGATTATCTTTCATTAGAAAAATTGGTGTAGCCGTGCTTCTAATTTCATGGGTAAGCTAAATCTAGACCAAGGTATTTGTTTTCTGCTTGATTGTTTGTCTGGTGTCAATCCCTGCTTATCTGGGTGTGTGCTGCTGGAGTGTATACATTCTCTCTTTAAACAGAGAGCAAACAATACCCTCACTAGCCCTGATGAGGTTACCTGGTCAGGTAATAAAATGTCTCCAAGAAAATTACCAAGCCTCCAAGGCCTCCACAGTTCAACCCTGAGCTACAAAGATTATCTTCCATTGGAAAAATTGGTGCAGCCAAGTTCCTAATTCCATGGGTTATCTAGGTTTCTTGGGGAACCAGAAAAAATATAACCTCCACACATCCCTAAATTTCATAGAAGGCACACATGATATAAAATATTAAAAACCAGTTTGCACCGTTTCGGGAGAGCCGGTTGTTAACTTTCTGAGCAGTTTGGTGAACTGGCTGTTGGAAGAAATCATTAGGGCAGAGAACCGGTTGTTAAGTTATTTGAAGCCCACCACTGGGTGTACCCTTATCCAAACTGACTGAAGGGACAAAGAAGATCCATTTCTAATGATATTCCTGCCATCTTATTTTCAAAGTATCAGTCTCTGTGTCCAGAGAAACCCTGCATTTCAGCTGCACATTTTTTGAAAAGCCAACAACTTAAGCTTCCCCAATTTAATTTCCCTCCGGAGTTAAGTTTCCTTGTTCCAATTACCAGAACAACTCCACCAGACTAGCTTGCCCTAAATTCTTAAAGAGCTCCCTATGTTTCATTTCTTGAACGATATTGATCATTTTATTCCTCCACCAGTTAAATTTTTGCAAATGGCTTCATTTTATCGATAACGTTCATGACACAGCAGCTGGTCGAAATAAGTCAGAATTAAGGGGTCAGCTTATTCTCGAAAGCACCCAGAAGGCAAGAAAAGAAACAATGGTTGGAAACTAATCAAAGAAAGAAGCAACCTGGAGAAACTTCCTAACAGTGAGGACAATTAACCAGTGGAACAGCTTGCCACCAGAAGTTGTGGGTGCTTCATCACTGGAGGTTTTTAAGAAGAGCCTGGACAGCCGTTTGTCTGTAATGGTTATAGGTCTCCTGCTTGAGCAGGGGGCTGGACTAGAAGACCTCCAAGGTCCCTTCCAGTCTATTCTGATAGATTGAACAGACTCCTGAAACAGTGTGGCTTTGACTGGATATCTAGTCATACTTGAGAAAGTGTTTCCAATAATAATAATGATAATAATAATAATAATAATAATAATAATAATAATAATAATAGTAGTAGTAGTAATAATAGTACAAGAGCCCCCCTTGAACTGTAAGCAATGTTTAGAGAAAAACAAAGACGATGCTTTTAGGAAAAAACGACCTGTTCTTTCATCCCTGCCTTTTGTCTTTTTCTAAAAAAATTTCTTTTTTTTTCTTTTCGCTCAACATTTATTACAGTTCATTGATCCTGGGTTTTTTCCTGCAGAAATCCATTTCTGTTGCTTCCATCCTTGGTCTTCCTTTCCAACCTCAGACCTGGTTCTGAAAAACAGCTTGAAGGCAATTGTCTACTTTAATAGAAAAAAAAAATCAAATATTCTGCCTTATCAGCTGCACATAGTACCAAGAAAAAAAAATCTACAGCATTCCAGGTTCCTTCCAGTATTATTACTACAGCAAGTTGTAACTTAGCCTGATTCCTCCAGGATATATTTTTCAAATTTCCAGACAGGCTCGATACAAAAACCTAGGATTATTCTCGTCTAAAACCCACTTACTAATAGCACTTTTATCTCTGAGAACTTCACATCTTGCAGCTAATGCTAGATTGTCAGATGCGAGCACTTGACATTATACAGACAGTGTTAAACATCAATGGACCAGGGAGGACAGTTGTCTTGACATGTGTTAATTATATCATGCCGTTCTGATTCTTAATTTAAAAAAAAAAAAAGAAATCATTGGGAAGGTGAAGTATTGTGACAATGCCAACACCAAAAAGGAAATGACTTGCCTTGCTCTATGAAGTAACGAGAGAAGAGAATATCAGTAGCTCAGGGCTGGACTATGGGGTCCTTGCTGCTTCCTGAGCTTGGTTGTTTTCTTGCAGACGTTTCAATTACCCAACTAGGTAACTTCATCAGTGCTAGTATGATGTGTAACTCCCTATTTATATACAGTGGTTTGTCCTGCCAGTGTTGATGGGAATGTGGTTTTCTCCTGGGTAGTTCTACGATTAAGGTATTGTTTTTCACTTGACTGTTTGTCTGGTCTTAATCCCTGTTTATCTGGATGTTGGCTGCTGGAGATGGCCTTTTCTGGTCTTAAACAAAGAGCAAAACCTACTCCTTCTATCACTGAAGTTGTTACCTAGTTGGGTAATGAAATGTCTGCAAGAACACAACCACACTCAGAGAGCACCAAGAACCCCACAGTGCTTTTCCTCCTCCCCTTCTCTTCCTCTTCCTCTTCACAGTTTTCTTCCTCCTCCCCTTCTCTTCCTCTTTACAAACCCCACTTCCTTCAACCACTGAAGTTGTCAACTAGTTGGGTAATGAAACATCTGCAAGAAAACAACCATACTGTGATGACGCGTGGCGTGGCACAAAGGCAACACAGCCAGAGAATAAGTAGAGGTTCTTTTATTAGCTCCAACTTTGCCCCCGATGACCCGGTTATCTTCCGGTCTGGAGAAAAACTCTCCCATGAACCTGCAACAGCCTTTGGCTGCAGATATTCTAGTTCAAACATTGTAAACTGAAAAATTTAAACTATAAAATCAAGGAGGCAAAATAAGGTAATAAATCCTGCAGAGCAAGATGGGGAGTTCCAGAAATGAAGTAACAAGGCAGTAAATCAAACCAGTTGGGAGGATGCCAGGAACTCAGATAACAGCAGCCAACGTGAGATAAACTCAATGTTTTTTCCCAACGAATGCTGTTCTCACTTGCCTCTCCATTAAACTCTCTTCCCAGATGTGCCTAATGAAGGGAATCAGGGCCCTTTCCTCACCCATAAGACAAACCACACATGTTGCTCTCTTCTCTGTTCCATCCCTCCCTAGGATGAAGAGGGGGTGGGCCTGGTCTTCCTCTGAATTCCCTCTCCCTTGTTCTACCTCTTCCCTGCTCTGCCCAGCCTGACTTTGCCCTTCCCCAGTTTCTTCCACAGCCAACGGAGCCACACTCCCAGTCCCTGATGGCTGTTCATCTTCCTCCTCGGATTCAGACTCTGACAAGGGCATAATGTATACTGAGAGAGCCACAAGGACCACATAATCCTCCTTCTCCTCCTCTTTGCAAACCCCACTCCCTTCTAGCACTGATGATGTTCCCCGGCTGGGTAATGAAACATCTGCAAGAAAACAACCAATAAGCACCAAGGACTTAGAAGGAACAAGAGTAACTGTGATTTGTCCACTCCCGTGTATGGTAGGTGCCCCAAACACATTTAGAAGAGGAGCTGCAAACCTCAGCACAGTTGCAATCATTGACACGTTCCCACATACAGGGAAATCTGGTTCTTGTGGGTCTTCTACTCCCTGTCCATTCATACGTACCTACTGATGTGGGCATTTCTCCCCACTGCAAAATGTTTTCTTTGGAGAAGTGCCCATAGATGTTAAGGTAGACTCCTTCATCTTCATAAGCCAGTAGAAGTTCCATCCCGTTGGTGTTCCGGAGAATGATAATAGCGTGCGGATGAATATTTCCCTGGATCTGGAATAACATTTGATGAAGATTTACATCATGGAACAAGTTACAATTTAAGGAACTGCAGTCCATCAATTTCGGTGTCATGATACTGCATTAAAAATCAACCAGCTTGGAGATCTGAGAAGCGAAAAAAGATTTATCTCTTTGAAAATGTCGGTGTACTTTCTTCCGGATTCAGCGCCGACACAATGGGAAAGGCATTTCTGTCTTTTTTAAAATATCAAGGTTGAGCTGCTACCTGAGGAAAAAGGTGTTCCTTTTATCCCTCTTGTAAATATCAAAGATCGTCTCGAAGCTTCTATTCAGGGTTTGCCTTTGAATTTGGTGAGTATCATGTTGTGAAAATAAATAAAACCCAGGGTAATTTGGATGCAGTAGGACGTGCAACATAGCATTGTAAAAATGATTGTAAAGGGCATTTTAGCATAGAAATTATCCTGTTAAAAATTCTTACAAACGTTACAGAATTATACAAAACGGTGTAAAAATAAACGATGATAAAGCAATAGATAACATAAATGCACACAGGCTGACTGAGATTATTCTAACGATAACGTTTTTGGTTTTTTTAGTTCCATTCTCAATCATTTCCTATCATGGCATACATAACTTATTAGCTTGGGTGGGGAGGGCATTTTGTTCTATAACTTTACATTAATTCAACCAGCAACTACTAAAACTTCAGTTCTTCCTGAAAACGAGGGGAAAAAAAATAATAGAATCATAAAATTGGTGTACGTGGTAGTTAGAAAGGTGATTCAACTAAATTGCAATATTGAAGTGTTTTGCATGCATTTTATTTACCAGTATACCCAGGGGAGCTATGTAAGCCAGAAATTAATACATTGTGTGCTTTTTAAAAATACACTACATGACTTCTAGTTCAACAGATCTGGAAACAATACCAGGGAAGCAATTTTCATTACAAGAATAATTTATTTGTTTTTCTAGTTCCAGCATTCTTATAGGCCTAAACCCCATCTTGACAGAAAAAGAGAGGCCACTTCATTTTATTATAGGGATATTTTTATTTTATCCTTACTTTTTACCTCTTCAATGTGTGTCTCTGGATTCGCTTCAACCAAGCCTGATAACAACACTCAAGACTGCATGGCATAAAGTTTTGTGACACACAAGAGAAAAATGGTGTCTGAGTCTAGAAGGTTTTTTTAGACATTGGATAGATGTAGGAGTTTGACAGAAAAATTTGATAGAAGGGGACACGGTGGCTCAGTGGCTAAGACGCTGAGCTTGTCGATCAGAAAGGTTGGCAGTTCGAATCCCTAGCGCTGCGTCACGGAGTGAGCTCCCGTTACTTGTCCCAGCTTTTGCCAACTTAGCCGTTCGAAAGCACATAAAAAATGCAAATAGAAAAATAGGGGCCATTTTGGTGGGAAGGTAACAGCGTTCCATGCGCCTTCGAAGGCATTTAGTCATGCTGGCCACATGACCACGGAGACGTCTTCGGACAGCACTGTCTCTTCGGCTTTGTAACGGAGAGGAGCAGCACCCCCTAGAGCCAGAAACGACTCGCATGTATGTGCGAGGGGAACCTTTACCTTTTAGACTTAGGAGAATCAAGGTAGAATGAGGTCTGAGGGAGACACCAAAAAGAGAACATTGAACTTGCCCCTTGGCTGCCTCATCGCTAGAAGGACAGAAGGACATCACCCATGAGAGGTCCACCAGAGTGATCTTCTGCATCGAAAGAGATGGCAAAACCCAATCTGCTTTCATCCAAGAGAAGGGACGTGGGTGAAAAACAAAATGCAGATTTGTTTACTGACATTATGCACTTAAAGGGGGTGTGCATAAGCACACCAGCATGCCTACTGTCTCTGTCTTCATTTATCTGTATTTACTTCCTTTATTCTTGTTTATGTTCATGCTTATGCTTGTTATCTTCTACATGTTTGACAAATAAATAAAATAAAACTATGGGAGATTGTCAAATCAGATGCTAAGAGGAGTCTACAGGTGGGTTTCCCTCAGGGGTGGGATTCTACCAGTTTGCACCTATTCGCTAGAACTGGTTGTTAACATTCTAAGCAGTTTGGAGAACCAGTTGTTAGAAGAAATTACTGGGCTAATCCTGTAAGGAAGGCAGGAAGGAAACATTCTGGTGTTGCTTACAGAAACTGCCTCTCCGTTAACCCTTATTACATTCTCAGCAGGACTAGAGTCCCTGTCTCTGGAACTTCTCTGGAGGCTTTTTTTTCTCCTTTGTTGGTACATTGCTTGTGTGGAGTGACCATTCAAAGTTACAATGGCATTGAAAAAAGTGACTTATGACCCCTTTTCACACTTACGACTGTTGCAGCATCCCCACAGTCATGAAAGGCCAGGTGAGGAGATGCGTGCCTCAATGTGAGTGATGTTGAGTTGGCCACACCCAGCCAGTCACATGACCACCAACCCACGTCCATCCAATCACATGACAACTAAGCCACGCTCACCAACCAAGCCACAGAACCAGTTGTTAAAAAATGTGAATCCCACCCCGGGTTTCCCCTCGTTTCATCTTTCAAATCAACATATGGGAAGAAGAAGGCACTATAGATTGGGGTTAAACCTGCTCCCCACAGGTTCCCTTAAAGAAAGCCTAATCAAGTGAGGGATTCCTTGTGGGGACACGATCCTTCTCCTTTCACCGACAGCAAGGAGCTTCTTTGAGGAGAGCTGGAACTTAAATCAGGATAACGTCAATTCTTTTCTCCTAACCTCACATCGCCCTCTGATCTGATTTGATGCAGAGAAAAATCCCTATTTAATATAGCCTAAATCCCAGTGATTTCTCTGGTTGAGTTCCAGCTAGGTTCCAGCTGTCTAAATAAATACACATATTGCTTGAAAGTCATTTAGAGGCTTATATATAAGACATGTTAAAACCCACAGATAAAAACGCACTCAGGAGAAACAAGTTGTGCTTAAAAACACCAAAACAAAACCTTCTTTGGCACACCTTCCACCCAGATGCAGAGCAATCTTTCAGTTCCCGCTATAAAATTTTCAGAGAGCTTTAAGCAATTTAGAATATATAACTTCTCAAATCCTAGCCAGCTTCTCAAGAGAGAGAGAGAGAGAAAGGATTTTCAGCAGCATCCATAAAGTGAGCAGAGAAAGAGAGAGAGAGAGAAAGGATTTTCAGCAGCATCCATAAAGAATTTTTTTTTTAATAAAAAAACCAGAAGGCAAAATTAATTCTACAGACAATCCCACCTGTACAATACAAGAGACACGAGCGCCTCAAAAATCTAATTAAGTTGGAAAGAATGGCTACTATTGGTGTTTTTTTAAAAAAACACAAATGAAGAAACCCAGGACTGCAAAGCACCCAGGCCTATTAAAGCCTTCGTGCAATTCTTAAGACTTAGAATAATTTTATTGTCCCTTTGAATGTACACTAATCGGCATACATTAAAATGAAATTTCATTGCATGCAGCTCTCAAAGAGCCTCCACCTCCAATATACACTACCAATACATGACCATTTTTGCACATACCCACATATATTATAGGACACAGAGAAACACCACAGTCTAGTTCAGATGTATACATGTACATTTTACAGAATCAGGTAGTCCTGCTGGAAATACTTCGAAACTTCCACCCAGAGGGGAGCAACAGATACAGACTGTGAAGTGGGTGTGTGGGGTCTCTAACAATGCTTCGAGCTCTAAGCACATAGTGCTTATAAACAATATCCTGAATAACGGGGTGCAAGTTTCCTATAATCTTCTCCGCTATCCTCACCACTCTCTGTAGGGACTTTCTATCTGAGGCACTGTGGCCAGCAAACCAAACGGGGATACACTTTGTCGAAACGCTTCTAGCTGCCAAGCAAATCTGGCCAAACAAGGACGAGCACAAGAAAACTCTACTTGCTAGACGTACTTGCCCACTCATGTAGTCTGGGATCACTGCCGCAACTATCCGCAACACCAAAATAGGGATCCAGAGCCGGAAAGCTATTTTAATATGCTGCCTCGGATTGAGCGGCATGAGCAATTGAAGCAGAGAAGCCGAAAGCATAAAGGCAAAAAAAAAAAAAAGAAGGAGAGAGAGAGATGAATTCAGAGTCAACGTGTTCAGTGTGTTGGCTTTCAAAGATGCCGGCTCCAAATGGAGAATTTCAGAAGAGAATTATTCACGTCTCCAATCCTGACAGCTACAGCTCAGCAGGAAGAAGAAGAGGAGGAGGAGGAGGAGGACAGTAATCGTTCTTCAATTTCTACCCTCTTGAGGGAATGTGTATTTTTAGTGTATTCCATCTTAACGGTGACAAGCCAGCCAAAATTGGAGCCAGAAGGTCTCCTCAGGGAGACCCCCTATTGAGGGCAACCGATGGGGGAAGATTGCTCCTCGCGCAGATAATTGAACGGGGAGTTTGCTGTCGAAGCCAATCTTTTCTTTAAAAACATTATCCCTTTTCATTGGGCTGGTTTACTTTTTATTTGGGACATCCGATGACCTCGTTTATCTTTGCATCCTGTCCTAAAACCGACTTATTTTGCATGGGTTTATGGGAAGGATTTGAAATGAACCTGGAACCATGCAGGAATAGAGGCAGTCCTTGGACTTACAAACGAGCGCAATGTTTCTGTTTCCAAAGATGTCAGGAGAAACATTCGAAATCAACCATTCTCAACCTGACACCTTTCAGGTGTGTTGATGTCCCAGCAAAGGCCAAGATCCTTGGAGAATTCTGGGAATTGAAGTCCACACATTGTGAGGGGACATGAGCGGGGAAAATTGTCCTACGTAATAGCAATAGCACTTAGATTTATATACCACTTGACAGTGCTTTACAGCCCTCTCTAAGTGGTTTACATAGTCAGCCTCTTGCCCTCAACAATTTGGGTCCTTGTTTTACCCACCTCAGAAGTCTGAGTCAACCTGGATCCCCATGAGATTTGAACTACCAAATTACAGTCAGCCAGCAGTCAGCAGAAGTAGCCTGCAGTACTGCACTCTCACCACTGCGCCACTGTGGATCATCATCAATCAAGCTGGATAGTTAACAGATGAAGTGCTACACCACCCTCTAGTAGAGTCTATATCTAAACTCCATAGTCTGGGAAGTTCACGCAGATCTCGTGATCTTTAAAAATGTCTCAAAAGGAGATACTTACATGTGTCGGCAAATATAGGTCATACACCGAGCCAGAGTCCACGTCAATGGCATGAAATCCTACGGCTGACCCATAAGTAACTTTCAGCCGCTGCCCGTTCTCCACAGTCAAATTAACCAAGAGTGGTTTTTGAGAAAGCGAGGTGAAAGACTGTAGAGGAAGAGAGATTTTTTTTCAAGTTTACACACCAGAATCTCGTCAATTAATGGTCAGCATTAAATTTGTGCCAAAGGAGGATCAACAGAATTCAAGGGAAGCTAGATGTGGAACATTTGTGGCAATGTAAGGATTCTAAGCTGATGACACATTTAACCCCGCCTCCCAAAGCATTGCCTGCTCTTCTCCGACATGAAAAGCAAACCATTTCAGAGTTTGGATAAACCTAAGCATAGATATAAAACAGATTTACGGCACTTCCCTATCACAACTTCCCTCCACCCCAGTGGTGGGATTCACATTTTTTTACTACTGGTTCTGTGGGCGTGGGAGGGGAAAGATATTGTAAAATCCCCATTCCCTTCCTCCAGTCCTCGGGGGGAAGTTACTGCAAAATCCGCATTTCTACCACATCCCACTAACCTACTTTCCAGCTCCGTTCTCCTGTGCAGGGCAACCAAAGAAGATGTAGCTGATCAACTGGACTCAGGAGGCAGAGGATAGATGGGGGCGGGGCCAGTCAGAGGTGATATTTGCCGGTTCTCTGAACTACTCAAAATTTCCGCCACCGGTTCTTCAGAACTGGTCAGAACCTGCTGAATACCACCTCTGCTCCACCCCAGCTACAAATCCAATGAAATGCAATTGGTTGAAAATCCTTTTGCTTCCATTCCTTAGCCTTCATTACAAGCCAAATATTCCCGGGACCGTCCACAAAAAGGAACTAATTGGATCAATTTAAGTTCTGCCATTTACCTTAAAAGCCATAAATTTGTGATATGGCTTGGGAGCCCAAGCGTAGACTTCGACCGAATTCTTCACGGCAATCACCAGAAACTTGATCCTCTCGTATTTCACTAGAAAGCAATCATTTCTTTTTTAATTGGCTAAGCATAAAGATTGAGAGAGCATTCTAAATCACTGTTTAAACAGCCAGGGTGTGTAGCCGAATGTAACAGGATTTTGATCTAGTGTGAATGCAACGGGAGTTGATCTACGATGCCGGAGAAAGTTGAGGGTCACGCAAAGACCTTGGTTTATCCCAGGATTCTAGCTCTTAGATCTACTACAGTTCCTCATTTGCATATTCATTTGGGAATAATTCAAAGCTAAAACGAACTGAAAGTAATCAAGCCCCAGCAGAATCATTATGTAAAGACTTATGTTAAAAACAGAGCATCAACGATAATATAAATCTTGGTAAGATATTATCTCAATAGCCCCCTTCTCATGCTACAGATTGTGTGCAAATAACTTGTCTCAGCACACTGTATATAGTTGCAAGATATATTCCGGGATCCTGTGTTGAACAAACAAGGGTTGCATTAACCTCCAAATCTAGATTGTGCCAATAAATATACAGATTGGTTTCTGTCATATATTTCTGTCGTGAAATTGCTTCTGTGTATAATTTTTTTTTTTTTGCCACATCTCATGTGTCCATGTTTTATTTATATATTTAACTATTTTATTTATTTATATATTTATTTATCAAACATTTTCATTTTCTTTTTTTGTCTTCTTATGGATTCTTTTTTTTGACGGGGGGGTTTGTATTTTGTATTTTAACCTTGTCGTGAATAATAGATAGATAAATAGATAGATATGGATAGATGAATAGATGGATGGATGAATGGATGGATAAATGGATGGATGGATAGATAGATTGATTGATAGAGATAGATAAATAGAGAAAGATAGATATGGATGGATAGATGGACGGATGGAGATAGATAGATAGATAGATAGATAGATAGATAGATAGATAGATAGAGATTGATAGATAGAGATTGATAGTTAGAGATAGATGGATGGATAGATAGATAGATAGATAGATAGATAGATAGATAGATAGATATAATATAGAAATATATATAGATATGGATGAATGGATAGATAGATATAGATATATAGATATATAAAGAAAGAATGACCCTCGTTTTGCCTGACCCTTATTTTAATTGTGTTCAGTGCCCTTCCAGGGAAAGTACCACCCTCACCAACTTTGTAGTGTACACAGCCTTCTAGATCGCCCACCGAGACCCAGCCTTGTCGCTTCTCCACATCGGGATCGTTCCGCAGAATCTTGTTTCGTAGCCAAGACAGATAATATACCCGTAGCTTATTCTTTTTGCCTGCGTGGAACAGAAGCAAAAAAAAAAAAAAAAAGAGGAGCATATTAAAATTGACTTCTGCAGACAATTCCATCACTGTCATGGTTGTACTAAGCTGGATCATAAAATTATAGAGTTGGAAGCAGATTCAGTTGGTTCTGACCAGTTCTGGAGAACCGGTAGTGGAAATTTTGAGTAGTTTGGAGAACCGGCAAATACCACCTCTGATTGGCCCCGCCCCCATCTATTCTTCACCTCCCGAGTCCCAGCTGATTGGCTGGGTCTTCTCTGGTTGCCCTGCACAGGAGAACGGAGCTGGAAAGCAGGTTAGTGGGGTGGGGAGGGAAGGGGGATTTTGCAGTATCCATCCCCTGCCACGCCCACCAAGCCATGCCCACAGAACCAGTAGTAAAAAAAATTGAATCCCACCACTGCCTCCTTCCCTTAACCATTCATTATATGGTTTAGTCTTCAGATCCCTGATCTTCTTCATAAAGGTTTGGCAAGAGGTGGCAACATTTTATAATCCAGTTTTATGGCCTAATCGTCCCCCTCTCTCATTGCTTGGTGTTGAATGGTCGGTCAGAAGCTTTTGGACCGCAAACAAACCTGAGATGGTAATTAGCACGTTCAATCCTTCCAACACGTCCATCTGTTGAAAGCGTCTCCGACTGATCAAGGAATAAACTCGACCTTGTCCACTCCGGTCCAGAAGCCACAATCCGTTTTCGGATCCAACAAGTAAATTGACCCCTGTTGAAGTGCGAAGAACATAGCATGGAATGACAAGCGTATCTTTGGAATGGCTGGGTCTTTCAACTATGGTTTGGGTTAAAACAAATAGCCTGGAAACAATCCAAGAACAGTCACCACTGTCCTGTACCATTTTAGACAAATGGTTATCCAATCTCTTCTTAAAAACATCCAGTGTTGTACGCTCCGTCCCATATTTGGTTCAGACCAGGTTGCCCTGATTTTTTTAAAAAAACACTTAATCTCTACCCTGGTATAACCAACAAAGCTAGGTGAGCCCGTGGCTTAGAGGGTAATACATAAAGGCAGGGCTAGATGAATCAAAAATTGGAATTAAGATCGCTAGGAGAAATATCAACAATCTCAGATATGCAGATGACGTCATTCTCATGGCAGAAAGTGAAGAGGAACGAAAGAGCCTCTTGATACAGGTGAAGAAGGAGAGTGAAAAAGTTGGCTTGAAACTCAACACTGAGAAAACTAAGGTCATGGCATCCGGCCCTCTCAATTCCTGGCAAATAGAGGGGGAAGAAATGGAGGTAATGACAGATTATATTTTCCTGGGCTCCAAGGTCATCGCAGATGGGGACTGCAGCCAAGAAATTAAAGGACGCTTGCTCCTGGAGAGGAAAGCTATGGCAAATCTAGACAGCACACTCAAAAGCAGAGGCATCCCCCTGCCAACCAAAGTGTGTAGAGTCGAGGCTGTGGTTTTCCCAGTTGCAATGTATGGCTGTGAAAGTTGGACCGTAAGGAAGGCTGAGCGCCAAAGAATGGAGGCCTTTGAACTCTGGGGCTGGAGAAGATTCCTGCGAATCCCTTGGACTGGAGGACCATCAATCTCAGAGGAGATCAACCCTGACTGCTCTTTAGAAGGCCAGATCCTGAAGATAAAAGGCAAAGGCTTTGACCACCTCATGAGAAGGAAGGACTCCCTGGAGAAGAGTCGAATGCTGGGAAAGATTGAGAGAAAAAGAAGAAGGGGATGGCAGAGAAGGAGGGGGCTGGATGGAGTCCCTGAAACAGTCGGCGTGAGCTTAAATGGACTCTGGGAGATGGTAGAGAACAGGAAGGGCTGGAGGAACATTGTCCATGGGGTCACAATGGGTCGGACACGACTTTGCAAATAATAACAATATGTAAGCAGCCCAGGTTCAAATCCCCGAAAGGGTATGGCTAGCTGATGAGAGCTAAATAGCTTGAAATAGATCTATACTATCTCCCTCTACTGTTTTTGTCAGTAAATATAAATTTAATCTAGTGTTAAGAGCATTCACAACTTCTGGAGGCCAGCAGTTCCACTGATTCAAACAGACATCTGAAGAAGATGAGGCTTCCATTAGGTTGGGCCCTGTTGATAGGTTTGATAAGGCAAGTTGTGAGGTAAGGAATGAAAACAAAATGGAAGAATTGTGTATCGTGGGTCAGGGTGAGGGAAGCAAAAGAAGCTCCAAGCAAGAGGCTGATAAGAAGACGGCGTTCTTCACCTCAGCACACACATCATTAACCAGCTTTGCTGTGCTGTTCTGTTCCTAATTTAAAAACTTGGCCTCTTCCAAACATACATCAAATGAAACCCAGAGAGCTGTAAACTGTAAATTTACATTTCCTGAGATAATTTTTTTCCTGGCATTTTCATTCGTTTATTTTGTTCCTCATTTAAGACTTAAGTCAAAGCAGAAAGGCAGGAGCAAAATATTGTGCCGGCTTCGTGAAGCCTGTCGCTTGATGTCAGAAAGATGAAAAATGAAAGCCGGTGCAGAACCACAAGAATGTAATGTTGAAACAACTGAGAGTGGAGTCTTGCTTTTGGTATATTGAACGTTGAGGTAGGAACCAGGGGTGAGCTTCAAATTTTTTAGCAAAGGGTTCTCTGCCCGGTTGCTGGGTGGGTGTGGCCAGGGTAGGAGTGGCCTAGTTGGCCTTCTGCACCACAGCCTGGGGGGGGGGAGCTTTTTGCCCTCCCCCAGCTCCGGAGGCTCTCTGGAAACTTGAAACAGACCAATTTCCGGCTTGCTAAACTTCCGGGCCGTGTGGGTGGGGCAGGGCCAACCAGGAGTGGGATTTAGGGGTTCTCCGAACTGCACAGAATCTTAGCCCAGGGGCTCTTCCAAACCCCCAGCAGCCCAGCCCTGGTAGGAACCCATGGTGGCCATCACCTGATGCTCTCAGTCCATTCCAAAATGGAGGGAAGTAGATGTATCTAAATGGACACCTTGAGAGGAGATGCCAGACCTCCTTCACCACTCTCAATGCCTCCACCAGATGGAGAGAGGACCAGGTTTGTTGTGGCCTGTCGGCCGCCGGTCCCTCCAGCAGCTGAATCAGAGGAGGAGGTGTGGGAGTCAGGGTTAGCATCAAGGCAACCTGGGAGCTCCGAGGAAGAAGAGGAAATGGAGCTGGCAGAGAGAGAGAAACAGACAGAGGTGGAGCTTGGGCTGTCTGTCAGCTCTCAGAGGGAGAGTCAACAGCCCCAGGTCTGGAGGTGGCTGATGAGGAAGAGGAGGAACAGCTGGGTCCAGTGCCTGACGCGAGGATGCACAGAAGGCAGAGGAGAGGAGAGCAGTGGAAATCTATGGGCCGGTCCTTGGGACGGAAGAGCCATCGCTGCTAGCGAAGCCCTACCCTACCTCTGGGGATAAAAGGCAGGGGGCAGAGATGAATAGGTCTGGCACACAACTATTCATCTTCTGGCCGGACTTGTTAGCCTGTGCCAAGAGAGAAACTTGAAGGAATCTTTAAGTTCACGTCAGAGGGTTTGTCACATTTGAAGAACTGGGTCAGAACAAGGTTCTTGCTTACAATGGGTGCACAAAACCTTTCCTTTCTTAGTTAGTGCAATATCTCCCCCGCCTGCTCTTAGTGCTCCAGAATGGTTCCTTGGTTCCACCTCTCCTACCACCCTATCACCAAGACTGTATCCAGATATTATACTAAGCCATGGCTTAGCCATAGTTTGTTGAGTAGAACACAATGCCTGGATCTGTCCACGATCAAACCATGGATACCTCAATGTACTAAGGCCAAACCAAACCAGGTTGAGCAGACATGAGGCAACATTTGAACTCTACATTCAAAAGTCTGTGTCCTACATGGTCTGAAAGGGCAAAAAAACCTGGCCCTGTTGTCTAAACACCTGCCACTTCTTCAAACCAGGTGACTCACCCCACAGCGCAGCACACAAGATTTCAGAATTGAACTTCTTTTTATATTTGCGGATTTCGGGGCTGTCACTCTGCGGCCGGATATTTGTAGGGTTCACATTGACCACAGAACCTTTTCTTGTATTTTGCCGGCTAGGAGGATCCATTTTCACATTAGACGCTGGAAGGAAAAAGAGAGAAGATTTATGAACATAGCTGTTGAGTTCGAACATCTCTAAAAGTACATGGCATCTAATATTCTACTTTCTAATAAGAGTGGGGTAAGGTTACGAATTACGATGATGGTTATGACATGTGGTGGACTGGCAGGGAGAGGAATGGAAGAGAGACAGATGTCAACAATCAAGAGATAGAAAATGAGGCTGTTGGCAACTATCTCCTAAATGACACCTGAGTTCAGGTGGCAAGAAATCCAGGAAGAAGCGTTTCAAATAATTTAAAGAGGTTCTGCTTAAATATTTCCCTATAACTCAGACATTCTTATTAGTTTAGTTTACTTTATTGTCATTGCACCTCGTGCAACGAAATCAAACACCAGTGTACATCCTGACCATGAAAATAAACACAAACACACATCCTTCACACCCCACACATTGAACCGAAAACCCACAACACTGCACCAACACTGCACTATACAGTAGAATTCAAAAGAGCTACTGCCCTGGGATAGAACCTCTTTTTCAGCCTATTTGTCTTTCTTTTTATTATTCTGTACTGTCTGCCAGATGGTAATAGTTCAAAAAAAGGGTTCCCAGGATGAGATGGATCTTTGAGGATGTTTTGAACTTTCTTAAGGCAGCGGGAGCTATAAAGCTCTTCCAAAGAGGGGAGAGGGCAACCAATGATCTTCTGGGCAATGACATTAACCCTCTGGAGTGCTTTCCTATCTGCCCCTGTGCAACTGGCAAACCATATAGAGGTGTAGTATGTTAAAATGTTCTCTATGGTGCAGCAGTAGAAGGTCACCAGCAGTTTCTCATTCAGTTGTTGTTTTCTGAGAAGCATCAGGTGGTATAATTTCTGCTGGGCCCTTTTGACCAGGGCTGCAATGTGGGTACTCCAAATCAGGTCCTCTTTTAGGGTAACCCCCAGAAACTTAAAACTGGCCACTTGCTCCCCTCGGTCTCCCTTGATAAACAAGGGATGGATGTCTGATCTGTTCCTTCTACAGTCCACTATAAGCTACTTGGTCTTATTGGTATTGAGGACCAAGTTATTGTCTCCACACCACGAAAGCAACCGGTCCACCTCATCTTGGTAGGCAGACTCATCCCCCCCTGGAGACGAGTCCCACCACTGACAAAAGACAATATTGGTAGCTCAGAGTTGTACTCTGGAGTCCTTAATGTTTTCTGAGTTTGGTTGTTTTCTTGCACATGTTTCATGACCCTACCAGGTAACATCATCAGTGCTAGACGCAAGTGGGATTTGCTCCTTGTTTAAAACAGAACTATCCAGCAGCCAACACCCAGGTAAGCAGGGATTAATCCCAGACAAACAATCAAACAGAAAACAATACCCTAATTTAGGAACTACCCCGGAGAAAAACAGCTGGATCGGGAAGCACAGAATATGAAAGCAAACCCCACTCCCTTCTAGCACGGATGATGTTACCTTGTTGGGTAATGAAAAGTCTGCAAGAAAACGACCAAGAACCCCACAATTCTTATCACAGTTTTCAAGTTCTTCATTTACTCCAGAATAGCTCTGGCCCTACTGATATTGGGGCAATTCTTGCTTCTTGGTCTTGCCCATCCTACATGGAGTTTAACATTGATGGTCTGTTCAACCAACTCTACAGATTCCAGGGACTTACATTCTAACTACTGAGCTTTGACCTCATCCTGGATGCCGGGAAATTATAGTTCCACCCACTTAGTAAAAGAGACAAGGATGACCTTATCTATACTCACGGGAACCACAGTTTGGTCCAGTTGGACTGGAGTGAGGCGAGATTTGGAGAAGTCTAGGATCAATGAAGGATGTAAAAGATGATGTAGAAGAAGAACTGTTTTTGGAAGGGGTACTGTCAGCATTCAGTGCCTGCTATTAAAAATAAAAAATAAATTCAGGATATACCTCCAATTGCTTACTGCCAGGATTCAAGAGCTGCAGCTTATGGGCTGGATATGATGAAGCAAATAGTCCCCATGTGAGATCTCACATAATTTGTGTTTGATATGTTGGGCTGCAGTCCCGAAATGGAGCTGCTGCTTATGCTGGTCGGAAAGAGTTCAGCGACTGGAGTCAATCCAGCTAAGGTCCTTCAAAGCCCAACGGGATGATGTGAGAAAGGGACATGACAATGAGCGAAGATCACAATTGATATTCTACTTAGGAGCATGACAGAAGAGATTCACCCCAACGCTTTCTGCTTCACCTTCAAATACAAAAAGTCAGTGGTGGTATTCAAATTGTTCTGTGGGCGTTGCTTGGTGTGGCATTCCCTTCCCACCCTGCTAACCTGCTTTCCAGCTCTGTTCTCCTGTGCAGGGCAACAAAATAAGACCCAGCCAATCAGTTGGGACTCAATGGGAGGCGGAGAAGAGATGGGGGAGGGGCCAGTCAGAGGTGGGATTTGCCGGTTCTCCCAATTACTCAAAATTTCTGCTAGTGGTTCTCCAGAACTGGTCAGAACCGGCTGAATACCACCTCTGCAAAAAGTGGATGTGGATAACAGATTAAGGGGAAGGAGCAGGAAGTAGATTTGATCAACCTCCCGCCTATATCCAAAGCAAAATAGCTCCTTCACAGAAGTGGGATTCAGCAGGTTCTGACCAGTTCTGGAGAACCAGTAAGGGAAATTTTGAATTGTCCGGAGAACCTGGAAATCCCACCTCTGACTGGAGATCTTGCAGTATCCTTCCCCTGCCACGCCCACCAAGCCACGCTTACAGAACCGGTAGTAACTACTCAAAATTCCCACTACTGCTCCTTCAGTTTCCCACGGATGGACTCTCTCATCAGTGGTGACCCAGGTGCATCACTTCTTGGGGCCCCATCTTGATTTGCATTTTTGCAGAACTGTACAACTATTAGACAATTGGACGCTCGTGTCCCTTCTACTTCTCCCCATACATGGTGGTCCTCAGATATGGTGGTCCTCGGAACCAGAAGTTCATCGTTTGCCCCCCCCCCCCCACTTTTTAAATCCTTTTAACATTTGTTACTGGTTTAAGAACTTTAACCTGGTTAGCAGGAGGATTGTTTGGAAGTTCTTGAGCAGAAGTTTTCATTTGGTTTGCTGGAATCTGACTCTGTTGGAGGAGGTCGGGCAGCAGGTAATTTTGGTTGTTCATGTTCCAGAGTTCTTCACGAGCGTCACAGCCATATTTTCCTGCAGCATTATCCTGCACCAAAGAACAAATTGAACCACTAAGTTGCAAGCAGGCTTAGGGAAGGGTTCTACACCCCTCCATTCTCCACCTTCCTTCCTTCCTATATGGGGAAACTTGTCCAAATCTCTGCCCTACCTCAAAGCTAATGGAGATCAGATTACGGGAGGAAAGTCAACACTCTGTGGATCAGGGGAATGGAATACAACAATATGGTGACAAAAATGGGATGCTGTTGGACAACATGGGCTTTAAAGCAGGGGTCTCCAGCCTTGGCCACTTTAAGACTTGTGGACTTCAACTCCCAGAGTTCCTGAGCTAACATGACTGGAGGAGGAATTCTGGGAGTTGAAGTCCACAAGTCTTAAAGTGGCCAAGGCTGGAGACTCCCGAGTTAGGTGATGGATTTGTGTGTTGTTACACACACACACACACACACAAAACTTTTTTCGTAATTTGGTGTAATTTACCAAGTTTGGGAAGCCCTGCCTTAAAATTTGGAGTGAGCCATAAGAAAAAGAACTTTCTTCCTCTTCCTCTTCCTCTTCTTCTTCTTTTTTAAATCAAGAAGAAATTTCCTGACAGTGAGAACAATTAATCAGTGGAACAGTGCTCCATCACCTGAGGTGTTCAAGAAAAGATTGGACAACTGTTTGGCCAGGATGATATGCAGTCTCCTGCCTTTAGCAGGGGGCTTGGACTAGAACAGGGGTCTCCAACCTTTTGGACCTCAGGGACCATCAAACTCATAATTTTAAATCCCGGGGACTACTAATATGAATTTTGACTGACGGAGGCTTGCTAATATTGGTGGGAGAGAGAGAGAGAGAGAGATCTGATCTAACGCCCCCCCCCCTCTCTCTCTCTCTCACACACACACACACACACCAACACACAGAGGCAGGGGTAGGATTAAAATTTCTTAACAACCGGTTCTGTGGGTGTGGCCTAATTGAATCACAGATTCACTCAGAGATCTATCTATCTGCAATCTGCTACCTGAGTCGGCATGGAAAACAGAAGATTCAGTTTTAAGGAAGCTTCAGCTCTGCTTTTAGATTAGCTAGAAGCCAAAAGTCCAACGGTTTCCTGCTTTCTAGCTAATCTAAATCTCCTGGCACAGTAGAACAGCTGATGGTCGGGAAAAAAAAAAGGAAAAATAGCAACTGAGAAGGCAAATTTGCTGGGTAAGCTCTAGGATTCTATGAGTCTAAAGAGAAGTCTTCCGTGTCAAATTTTGAGAAAGCAGCAAGAGTAAGGGCCCACTTATTCTCCCCAAAACCTTTGTGAATGAAATCAAAGAAATGTCCATCCTGGATTTCTTTTGCAGTAAAAATAAACCTTCTTCAGACTGTATTGATGGGGTGCCTTGAATGACAGGAGAAGCGGATTTGGTACAGCTTTTATTTCTATTGGAATGTGTAAAGAATACATTGGCCTGCAAGCACGTTGGGTTTTATTAGAATGGAACTGTTTTGGATCGAAGCAGGCTTGGCGTCTTAACCCACAAACAACCTGGCTGCAGTCCCGACTGTGGTTTGGAAAATATTTGAATCCTTTCAGCTTTATCATCCCATGAGAGCTTCGGATTTGAAAGTTTGGCAATTCCTGAAAGGTTGCAGAGCCAAGAGGGATGCAATTGGAGATAATGGGATGCTGCCTCTTCCTCTCCAAGCAAATGTGAAGCCAGAACCGGAAAAAAGATGGTTTGTTGCTAGCCTAGAAGAGGGAAACTGTCGGCCGTGGACTTTGCCGGCTGGGAGGAAGCTTGGCAGATGCCAGCATGAATCCAGAGGTGACACAAAGTTTTCAAAAGCCAAGATGTTCTCACTGGGAAAATATGGAAACATGGAGAAGAGAAGGATGCACAGGTAATCCTCAATTTACAGCCAAAATTGAGAACAGAGACTATGTCACTAGTCAAGACAGTTCTTAAGTGAGTTTTGTCCCCATTATATGACCAGTTCGTTAAGTGAATCATTGGTGGTACACTGGCCTAGAGGTAGAGTTCTTGTTTCACAATCAGGAGGCTGTGAGTTCAATTCCTAGGTAGAGGCAGATATTTTTCTCTCTGGGCATGTTGAGATTATATCTGCTGAATATAACTCCACATTGGCAACAGGAAGGGCATCCGGCCAGGAAACACTCAGCTCCATTCGGTTGCCTAGACTCCAACCCGCAAGGGATTATGGGGTCATTAAAAGAAGATGATGATTAAGCGAATCGCTGCAGTCGTTAAGTTGCTAAGACTCTCTTCTCGATTATTTAAGTCCATAAAATAGAACGCAACTCGCGGAACAATTACCTGGCCTACCAATGGCCTAGTTTTGATCGTAAATCAAATCCAGCAAGAACATTCACAGGTGTTTCTTTTCCTTTAAAAAATTGGGGAGGTTTTGAATGGTCTAAAAGAAGTTTCAATGAAACTTTGTCCTCCCAAGCATTTAAGCTGACTTCATAACCTTTCATAATTCCCTTGCTTTTAATCTGATTATTCTAATTCCCGTAAGCCAAAGGATCAGATCTGGCTAACATGGAGATTTAGTGTGCTTGTTCAAAGTGTGAACCCCAAGGGAACCGAATCTAAAGAAAATATGGATAGATGTGCTTGTCCTGTTTTTTTTTTTTTGTTTTTTTGAGAAAAAACTGCTCTTTATTTATCTTGTTTCATTTCCATCGTTTCCTTCCTGTATCTTCCCATAGCTTTCTAAAAAGGAACTACAGATAGTTCTCGAATGGCAACATTCATTTAGTGACTGTTTGAAGGCACTGGGAAAAGGGTTCTATTCTATTCTATTCTATTCTATTCTATTCTACTCTACTATGCTATACTATACTCTATTCTATTTTCCTTCCTTCCTTCTCTGTTCTAATTCTATTCTATTCTATTCTATTCTTCTCAAAGATCAGGAAAGCCAATTTGTACAACCAAAATGTGAGCAGACACTTGAAAAAAAGGGAGTGAGGCTAAGTTGCCAACTGGGCAGAAGGGAACATGACTTTTCCATTATTATTATTATTATTATTATTATTATTATTATTATTATTATTATTATTATTGTTGTTGTTGTCGTTGTTATTGTTGTTGTTATTGTTGTTATTGTTGTTATTGTTATTATTGTTATTATTAATTTGGGGGGACCCATCCGCTGGATTCCTCTCCCAACCCTCGCGAAGAATTACCTGGCGATCCGCTACGAGGCAGGGAGAGTTCAGCTCGATCCCGTCAGCAACTCCTGCCCTTGAGAAGCCGGTCACTCCGTTGCCGAGCAGTTGCCTAGTAACAAATTCCAATTAGCGCAGGAGAAGGAGAGGAAAATCAATGCATTTTTAAAAGACCCTCCAAGAAAGAGGGTTCTTTTTTCCTTTTCTCCAAAGGAAAACCACACACACACAAAATAAAAACATGAAAAAACAGCAGCATCCAAGAATCATTAATATCCCCAAAGTACTTTTCTTCAGGAGGCAGCTGGGCTGTCTTTTTCTTTTTTTCTTTTGAAGACTTTTCGCTTCTGCTCCGAGAAACTTCTTCAGCTCTGACTGAATGGTGGAGGATGGAAGGACTGATATTCCTTGAAGACAGCTGGGGATGCTTACAACGGTCGTTACGTATGAAAAGTGATCCTAAGTCCCTTTTTTCCCCGGTGCCGTTGTAACGCCGAACAACCAGTCGACCAACTATATTGTACGTCAAGAACCCTCCGTACAGGACAGGCATAATATTTCATATTTAACTTCTGCTTTCCCCCAGGATATAAATTTGGAAGTTTTTTAAGCAAATGGTGTTTCCCTCCTTTCATCTCCCCTCGCCCAAGGGTGGGCTGCTGGGGGTTCGGATGGGTTCGGGAGAGGCCCTAGCTTCTGCTGTGCAGGTCGGAGAACCCTCAAATCCCACTCCCGGGTGGCCTTGACCACCCCTCCCCGCACCTCCCCTCCCCGGAGTCCCCACGTGGCCCGTTTTGGATGCAGATAAGTGCAGGGCACGGCGGAGACTCAGGGAGAGTGAAAAATGAGCCTCCCAGAAGTTCAGGAAGGCCAGAAATAGGCCCGTTTCCAGCTTCTAGAGAGCCTCTGTAGCCCCGGGAAGGCCTTTTTCACCCTCCTGGAAGCTCAAAGAAAGCCTCCGGAGTCCGGGGAGGACAAAAACACCCCCCACTCCTTGCTGTGGTGCAGGAGGCTGACTAGGCCACGCCCACCATGGCCACGCCCACCCAGCCACCGGGCGGAGAACCTGTTGCTAAAATTTTTGAAGCCCACCCTTGCCCACTTCAAGCTTTTCTCCTCAAAAAGACCTGGCACATTTTGTTATCCTATCTCGTTCTGATCACGCGGATCACATTACTCCTCCGAGTAATGCCCAGATGGGCAGCTTGCAAATGGTGGCGCGAGCACCTTTGAAAGAGCGCATTCATCGGCATTCTGTGCGGAGGCAGCTATTTCCAAAAAGGGAAAGGTCAGAACCGACAGCTGGGCTCATTGTAAGGAAACCCAAAGCGTTGAAAGCCGCATCCAAATACGTGCCGCTCGGAACGCAGGACCCTCCGCCTGGGAATGAAAAGGTGTAACGTTCATCGTCTCTCATCTTGGACCGACGCCAGCTGGAATCTGTGTCAAATCTGAGATATGATGGGGGGGACAAGGGACACCTGATCATCCCTATCGAACTGAAGTTATTTGATTTTTATTTTTATTTTTTTGGAAATTAGGCAGGCATTCAGAAATAATAAAAAAAATGCACAGCAAAACATCATTTCTGGCATTTTGCTGATATTTCCACTCTGGAATTTTAAGGGATTCGTGTCCCTTTTTAAAAAAAAAAACAGATGAAAACTGTCGTGGTGGCCAACAAGGAAGCAGAGTCAAGAAATAGAATAGAATGGAATGAATGAGCTGGAAGGGGCCTTGGAGGTCTTCTAGTCCAGCCCCCTGCTTAAGTAGAAAAGGGACTTTCTTGGCCCTTCTGAAAAACCTCCAGTGATAAAGCACTTACAACTTCTGGTGGCATGCTGTTCCACTGGTTAATTGTCCTCACTGTTAAGACGTTTCTCTTTAGTTCTAGGTTGCTTCTCTCTTTGGTTAGTTTCCACCCATTGTTTCTTGTCCTGCCCTCAGGTGCTTTGGAAAATAATTTGATCCCTGTCTGTTTTGTGGCAGCCCCTCAAATATTGGAATACTATTATTATGCCACCCCTAATTCTTCTCTTCTTTAGACTAGCCAAACCCAAAACCTGCAGCTGTTCTTCGTATGTTTTATTAATGTAATGCAGGTAGTCCTCAACTTATGATGACTATCGAGTCCCAAATTTATGTTCTTAAGGGAGACATTTGTTAAGTGACTTTTGCTCCCATTTTATGACCTTATGTTGTGGTTCGCCAGCAAGCAGGTGCAGACGGCTGAGGTCTCGGAGAGCAAGGACTCAGATGAGGGGCCTGCGTGTGATGCAGGGATGGGGCCAGGACCCTCAGGGAGTGGGGTGCTGCCTTTGGAGGTGATGGAGGCTGGCAGCAGTGATGAAGAGGCGCCCGAGGAGCCTGTGCCCAGTGCACATGCACCCAGGGCTTCTGGAAGGAAAGAGCAGCTGCAACAGCTCGGGCGACTCAGGAGTAAGGCTGCCCCTCCCTCCAGAGATAAAAGCCAGCTGAGAAACCAGAGTTCTTTGCAGGAAGCGAAGAGGTTTTGGACTCAAGCCTTGTGGATGTTCAGACCATCTTGGCTGGTGTTTGGAAACTCTTTGTATTTGAAATATTTCTTAGTAACTTTATCTTGTGTTCTTGGCAGCCTTGCACAACTTTGGCAGCCTTGTTCTTATCAGAGACAATTAGTTTAAAGCAGCCTTTTAACCGGGAAGGAACGGAATTCGTAAAGAATCATTAAAAGGTTTTGCTGTTACCTTCGTTTGGTGTTTGTTTCCTTGGAACAAGGTTTGGGTCAGAACACCTTTCTTGCCCCGGTGGTTAAGTGAATCGTCGCATGTAATAAGTTAGTAACCTGGTTGTTAAGTGAATCTGGCTTTCCTATTGATTCAGCTTGTTAGAAGGTCACAAAATGGAGATTGTGTGGTCCTGGAAGACTACCACCACCAAAAAGACGAGTCAGCTGCCAAGTGTCCAAATTTTGATCATAAGGCAACAGTCATAAGTGTGAAAACTGGTCATGTTACTTTTTATTTTTTTCTCATGCCATTGTTGCTCCAAACAAATGTTTGTAAGTCTAAAACTCCTCTAACGCCATTCTATTTTCATTTATTTATCAGTCCAATTGGTGTAGCCACCCTTCTACCTGTGGAACTCTGGAGGGTGAACAAAAGATTAAACATAGCAGACCATCAATCGATTAAAAGAACCGAGTCAAAGCCACCGTAAGCACCCATTTGCCTGTCTGTCTTCCCCAAATATACCAAGCTCTATTAACATCCCAGTAAAATCATGGTGGGAAGTCAAAACTACGTGTCCTTCAGAAATGGCTTCATTGCTGACACGGGATAACTAAGATATACCTCCTAAACTAAGCTACTTGTATTCTATTAACTTTGAAGTTAGTCATCCGTGGCTGGAGGCTGAAGATTGGGAGAACCAACCTTATGTGTCCATCACCCTCCTCATCCTCGTCGCTGCTGCAGATTTCGTCGCTGGAGGAGGAATATTCTAGAGACTTCCGGAGCAGATGGCTGCCAACTTTCTCCTTGTTCCACAAAGCTGGGCTCTACGAATGAGAGGAATGTGGTTTGTAAACTTGAGCCTGTATAAGGCCTTGACACAAAGCAACCCCTGATTTAAGCCACCTTTAAATACATACCTTTATTACAAATATTTATATATTATAGAAAAATAAAATAAAATATTGCAATGTTGGCAAGAACAAGTTGTCTGGCCTGGCCATGAAAGGATTAGGAGTTGAGCTAACCTCAAAGAAGTCTTTACTTTTACTGTCTTTCTGTTTCACCTAGCCTCTCTTTTAATCGTGATTTATTACAAGTATTTCCATCTTGGCCTTCAGGATAAAAAATCCCAAATAGAATGGAATGCAAGCTACCGTAAATAAAAATACAATAAATATTTGACAACAAACAGAACCCTTATTTGGGAAGGCCCATTTTTAAGCGAACAGGTAATCCTTGACTTATGACTCTGAGTCCACAATTTGAGTTGTAAGCCTTGAGAATTGTAAAGTGTGTCACCATGTAACCAGGCCTGATTTTATCCATTTTTGCAGTGGCCATAAAGCAAACACCACAGTCATTACATGGACCCATTGTCCCTCCATTTTTATGATCCATTATCACCTCAAACGGTTACTAATAAAACTTTTCTAAGTCAAAGATTATCTGTAGTCACCTCACCATTCCTCATGATTTGAGTTCATCCCTTTGCTCCTTGCTGGTCTCCAGATCAATCTATGGACTGATTTAGGATATGCCAATGACAAATCTTTGTATTTAAAGGAAAGTCTCCCGTCAGGTATTTAAGGACTGGTGTTTTCTTTTGAAAGAAAACCCACAGCTCCTAAACAGAATACTGTACAGGTGGTAGATTCAGAAGAGAAATTCAGAAGAGCCTTCTGAAACTCTGAAGAGCAGCTCAGAATCAACTTGATGATCCAACATCATGACTTCAAAGGAAGTCCTTATGTTCAGAGTCGACACCTTGTCTGAGAGTGCCACAACGCTAATCCCCATCAAGACACTTGTTTTAACCAAGTGGAATGTTCTCACGTGATGGATTCTCCATCATTCTTCTCTCAAATACAAGAGGAAGGAACATAATAAGACTTAACTTGTCCTGTGTGGCACAACACCGAAACCCTGTCTTCTGAATATTCAAAACATTGAACCAGCCAACACATCATACCAAGCAAAGCACAATGAAAACAAAACTCCTCTGGGTCTTGAAAAAAGACAGGTAAACAGAGTGGACACTTAATTTGATTAATTAACAGATGGAGACGAAGGATAAAGAGTCAGTCAAGCCCAGGTTGACTTCAGTTGTAACAGATTAACAGAGTTGGAAGGGACCTTGTAGGTCATCTAGTCCAATCCCCTGCCCAGGCAGGAGACCCTAACCATTTCTGACAAATGGCAATCCAGTCTCTTCTTGAAAGCCTTCAGGGATGAAGCTCCCATAACTTCTGAATGCAACTTCTGTTCCATGGGTTGATTGTTCTCATGGTCAGAAAGTTTCTCCTTATTTCCAGGTTGAATCTCTCCTTGTTCAGTTTCCATCCATTGTTCCTTGTCTGGCCTTCGGGTGCCTTGGAAAATAGCTTGACTCCTTCCTCTCTGTGGCAGCCCCTCAAATATTGGAAGACTGCTCCCCTGTCTCCCCTGGTCCTTCTCTTCCCTAGACTAGCCAGGCCCAGTTCCTGTAACCATTCATTGTATGTTTTAGCCTCCAGTCCCCTAATCATCCTGGTTGCTCTTCTCTGCACTCTTTCTAAAGTCTCGACATCTTTTTTATAGTGTGGTGACCAAAACTGAATGCTGTATTCTAGCTGTGGTCTTACTAAGGCTTTATAGAATGGTATTAATACCCCACTTGATCTTGATTTTATCCCCCTGTTAATGCAACCCAGGATTGCATTAGTTGACTTTGTGGACATCCTCATTAGCAGTAGGGAAGTGATTTGGTAGCACCTCTTGATGCATTTAGAAGCACGTTAAAGATACATATTTTTAAAGACATCCATCAGGGGTTAGAGTAGAAACCATAAAAAAGAAAGAAAAGAAAAGAACTTTAATGGAACTAAAAGCAAAGGAGTACCAAAATTAACCTTGAGACCAGAAAAGAACAATAATGTAGCAGGAACCGTAGAAGAATTAGAAGGTATAAGGAGAAAAAAACTTACTGAAATTTGGCCTGAACGAGATGTATTTTCAGGTTTCTTACAGGACTGGAGATGTCTGTTGTCTATTCTGGAGGACTCTGGATGTTGTAAAGAGAAATATTTACTGATGCATGCACATTATTTAATCATTTAAATAAGAGCACTGCATCTTAAGATGTCTATAGATTGCCCCAGGCAACCACTTGCTAGCAAATTGTCCAAAGCAATACAATTCAACTGCTCTTCACTTCCAAACAGATGCGTTTTGTGCCTCACATATTTGTTGTACTTTAACTGGTAAAGAACACAAAGAAACTTCAGTGGGTTCTTTCATCCTAAGCTATTGTGTTTTATGAAATGGATTTGTATATATATATATATCAATGTGCTATTTTATAACTCCTCTATGCTATTTCAAGGACATTTTAGAGTGGAAAACCAGATAAGTTTTAAAAGAGAGTACTCTGAGCAAATTTAACTTAGCTAAGGTAAGCTAAAAACAATGGTTCCTAACCTGGGATCCATCAACAAATTAAGAAGTTCTCTGAACTTGGATAGAGGAAAAAAATATTTTTACTAACCTCTAATGGAAATTTAGTTTTTCATTAAGCAAAAAAAAGTAAGTTTATGGCCTCTGCACTCCAAAAAAACACTTATCAACTAAAATGAAACTCACATTCTAAAATTATTATACCCTAAAAAGGACATTATTTTGTCCTTGGCTCAGTGAACTGATGAAGATATTTATTGTTTTTAGAAAATATTTTAGAATAGAATAACAGAGTTGGAAGGGCCCTTGGAGGTCTTCTAGTCCAACCCTCTGCTTAGGCAGGAAACCCTACACCACTTCAGACAAATCTCTTCTTGAAAACTTCCAGTGTTGGAGCACTCACAACTTCTGGAGGCAAGGAGTTCTGCTGATTAATTCTTCTAACTGTCAGGAAATTTCTCCATAGTTCTAAGTTGCTTCTCTCCTTGATGAGTTTCCATCCATTGTGTCTTGTCCTGCCTGCTTTAAAGAATAGCTTGACTTTTGATAACTATGCTTGAGTATCATTGTTTTCCTCTGTCACACAGTCTGTAGCTTGGTCTTCTAACCAGTGCATTTAAGTATGTTTTTCTGAGAAAGAGTCTGTAGCTTTTCCCAGACTCTCAAAGGGGTTCAGACACAAAAATATACACAGGATTGACCTGGGTTAGGTGGAGAGGAGGGATTATTTGAAGTCACCAGTTGACTTCAGAGCCCAGGAGACCTCAAGATCCCACCAGCCTAATCTTCTGTCTCCTCCACGCACTGACTCATTTCCATCCAAGCTCCGAGCATTTCTGCCACATGCCATATGTAAAACATATGGAAATATTCTCCTAAATAGTCTTAAGGCAACCCTCCAGCTCTTCTGACTGACAAATTTACATATCTTGCTGGGTAAAATAAAAGGCCAAGGCTGAAGAAGGAGAAGGAAAAAAATCACAACCAGTTAATTCTTTGCAAACACCAACAGCATCTCTCTGGATTTGAGCATGCCCTGCAGTTAATAAAAACATCTAGAGTGCAGATGTTCACCCACGCACATATAAAGTCATGGTAAGATGAGGCTAGCATGAGGAAAGCAGTTAGCAAACAAACATAAGTAACAGAATACCTTTTCTCTCCTAGAACTTTTCTTTCCCGCATTCTCTTTCCTAGGGCAAGGGAAACCTTAAATTCTGGTTGGATCATCCAGATAGTCTACAGCGTGACTCAAAAAATTACCTGAGATCAATTGGCTGTTCTGCTGGGACTTGAAGTCCTTTGGCTTGTTGCCATTGAAATCTTTGTAGCTGTTATTGGATTTCGCTTTCGGATCCCCCAGGAGTGGCTGATGTGAGCTGTAAAGAGGAATGACAAGGGGAAGAGGAGGAGGAGGAGGAGGAGGAGGAGGAGGAGGAGGAAGAAGAGGAGGAAAAAAATGAAAACAAGGGAAGAAGGTGGGGAAGAGGAGGGGAGGGAAGAGAACAGGAACAAAAACAAAGAGAAAGTGGTAGGAGAAGGAGGAGGAGGAGGAGGGGAGGAGGAAGAGGAGGAAGAGGAGAAGAAGAGGAGGAGGAGGAGATAAAGGTGGAGGAGAAAGAAAACAAGGGCAAGGAGAAAGAAGAGATTACATTCATCCACTAACATTATAAAAACTCATTCCATATTACAATATACTTCAAAGAGATAACCAATTCCAGACTAACATGTCTAAAACCACAATAACAACATTTCCATTAAAACTATCGAAAAATCCTGCCGAGACCACAGAGGTTTGGAAATGCTACCCTTGGAGGCTTATAATGCTCATCTCAAATGTCAGGTGAGAATTACGATCCTCAAATTCTTCCCCGACTTGGAACAAAATTTAAATCAGAACAGAGTTACCACTTTCCCACTTCTAGCTGAAAACAAAAAATGTCAATGAATCAAGGAAATGAATCTTGGAAATGGCCACAAAGCAGTTTTCTTGGGTTCCAGGACTGGTTTGCTTTCACCTTTAACTTTTTTCCACTTCTCTTTCTCTCTCTTCCCTCCCTCCCTCTCTTATAGTCTTCACGCTAGAGGCTCCCGCAGAAGACAGTTTGGTCCTGCTGAAATTCTGAATTGTTGGCTCTCAAAGGACTCTTGAAGTTTGGACCAAAGCTACACTTGTTCGAGAACTACAAGGTGCTCAACTGCATGCAGATCGATAGGAGAAGGAATTGCACCTACCTCGAAGGGAAACTCTGTTGCCCACACTGATCCCTGGTGTAAAACGTAGAGGTTGTCCTTTGAGGAACCTATACAGATGAAAAGCCCAGGAAAGTCAGAACTGATGACATCTGCAATTTTTTTTGGTAGTACTGTCTATATCGGCATTTCTTTACCTCAGTCACTTTAAGGTGTGTGGACAGAATTCCCCTGGCTATTTGATGAAAGACCTTAGTAAGACCAAACCTAGAATCCTGCATCCAATTTAGGGTCACCATGCTATAAAAAAAGATGTGGAGATTCTAGAAAGAGTGCAGAGAACAGCAACCAGGATGATGAGGGGACTGGAGACTAAAACATACGATGAATGATTGCAGAAATTGGGCTTGGCTGGTCTAGTGGAGAGAAGGATGAGGGGAGACAGGATAGTGGTCTTCCAATATTTGAGGGGACTACTACAGATAGGAGGAAGGGGGTCAAGCTATTTTCCAAGGCACTTTTGAAGACCAGACAAGGAATAATGGATGGAAACCGAACAAGGAGAGATTCAGCCTGGAAATAAGGAGACATTTTCTAATAGTGAGTACAATCAATCCATGGAACAGAAGTTGCCCTCGGAAGTTTGTGGGAGCTTCATTGCTTGAGACTTTCAAGAAGAGATTGGACTGCTATCAGTCAGAAATGGTGTAGGGTCTCCTGCTTGGGCAGGGGGGTTGGACTAGATGACCTACAAGGTCCTTTCCAACTCTGCTAATCTGTTAAATGGGTACCACACTAAACTTGCCCAGCAAAGACCTCCAAGAGGCAAAAAAATAAAAAAAAATAAAAACAAAACAGGGAGTCTACAAGACCCAACATGGAATTGTTTAAAGCTGGTTTGTTGATTATAGCTGTCAGGGGTATCCAGAGTTATTATGGGCTAGAAAATCTTGCCACAGGACCATATTTTGAAAAATAATAATAATGGGATGGCCCAGAAATAGTGTGATAGTTCTTAGTTATGGACCTCCTATAATACACCCTTACTTTAAATCATCTCTTTCTTCTGACGGTTCTTCCAAAATTTCATTACCTTTGGGGGTTGTTCTTCAGTCTGAGACAGACTCCAAAACACCTCATCCTGACTGGGACTCAAGGATGTGACAGCGACATCAGATAGCAAACTGCCATGAGACACATCCCGACTCATTCGGAGGTTTTCATTCTGGAGAAGGAAAGCAGGTAGAAAAAAAATGTTCTGATGATGACAACCCTATCATTCAATTTTTAAAAATAAAAATAAAAACACACTCCTTAAAGAAACCGCTGGTGGCACACTGTGGGTTATAAACAGAGAGCCACGAGATACAAACTACGGCTCCATCATGGAGTCTATTTTGCTAAATCAAACTGGCAGCCGCCAGAAGCACAGCTGTTGGCCTGGCCAAGAGACTTACATCGCAGGGAATCTGCTGGAAATGCTACTTATGGCCCACTTCTTAGGTTTGTCAGATGTGGACGTCGAGCCAATCTCCTTGTCAACTCATAAAACATTTCTATGCCTCTTTTATAGTGGCCAACAGAAAGGGCGGCGGTGGGGGGAAGGAATTTGAATTGAGAGTGCATTCCATTGATGACTTGCAGAGATTGTCACTAGGTGCCATGACCCTGTTGGAATCTGATTTCATAAGGGGAGGTCAAACAGCTGACAGGGAGTGGAAGTGTGGCCCTGGTGGCTGTGGAGGAAACCTCTGCCATCCACACCGGCTCCCGGCAAACCACAACAAGGCCTAATAGAACTATTTGGAAGGAAAACAGCCACCTGTCCAATCCCACACCAAAAACCTTCAGCCGCAAATGCATCGGTTGGCAGTAACACATCGGGGTTGGGGTCTCCACGATGTTGTTAATCAGCCCCATCAGAAAGAAGCGTAGGGATGAGGAGTAACCAAAGGGATGAGGGAAAAATAATTCCATCTGTCTTACGCCCGAGAAGAAGACCAAGTCTCGCTCGGGAACCCTACCGTCGATTGATGTCTTTTCCCAAACCTGTGTGATGACCCAGAGGGGGAATACAAAACAAACACAGTCACAGAAAACAGGTGAAGCCCCTTTTATTCCTTCACTTTGCTTCCAAGCTGCGAATATTCTTGATGGAAGACAAAAAAAAAAAAAAAACAACCTCCCACACAAACAGTTACAAGAAGAAGGAAAAAAGCAACACAAACCAGGCAAGATAAGGGCTGGAGGATGCCCATAGATAACACAAACTGGGAAGGACGCCAAACTCAGAGAGGAACCATAAGCTAGAGATATTTCCATGCTTTGTTTCCAGCGTTCGCCCATACGCATGTCCATCCTCGTGTTCAGTTGTCACAACTGCAGCCCATGAAGAGGATGAAGGCCCTCTCCTCCCAAGCAGACCACGCCTCTCCCTTATCCTCTCCTCCCTGTGTGCCCTAGGATGGAGAGGGGATGGGCCTGGGTCCTCCTCTGACTGCCCAGTCAGCCTCTGCCCTTCCCCAGCCTCCTCCACAACCTCCGGAGCCACACTCCCACTCCCTGTCGGCTGTTCCTCCTCTCCCTCAGAGTCAGTCTCCACTGCGGGCACGACACCCTGCTTGCCCCCATTGCAGTGAATTTGATTCACTGGGATTCTGCACATCACAGATCCCTGACAGAATTACGCGAGGAGAGCCTGTGGCCAGAGCCTTTCATTTGGCTTCTCCATCAAATTCTCGCCTGGCCGGAAGGATCCTGCACTTCTCAAGAGAGGTATTCTTTATTCACCAGCCGACATTTCTCTCCCCTGAGTTGCAACTGATTAAGGAGCCATAACATCCTTTTTATCTCCAAGGCTGTACGCCTGCTCTTTCGAATGAAAGAGGAGATAAAAGAAATAAGATGGCTTTATTTCACACGGCCTTTTGAGTTTGCTTTCTCCCTTTCTGCAAACATTTGACTCAAGTCCAAATCCAAAGGACCATCCAGTCAGAGCGGAAGAAGCTTCTTGGATGAGAAGCAAAAGGTCTTCAGAGAAAAACCAGAAAGTTTAGTGGTCTCTTGTAAAAAAAAAAAAGCACCTTTGGGACAACCATGACCTGGAGAACTGAGAATCTCCACAGACAAATCTGAGCAGACTTGAAGTTCCTCAGAATCAGGTGTATCAGTTTGGGAGGAACAACGTGGCATTGACAAACCGTGGAACATCTCAATCCAAGCCAGCCCTGCGGATGCTGTATTTGGACAGCTCTGTCTGTCGGGAGTGGGTGACAAAAAGGGAAGAGGTATGAAGCTGGCGTTGGGGTGAAGGAGACAAGTGATTAATAGGCCTGACAATTACCCAAGCAGGTGGAAAGGACAGGATGGCACAATCTTGATGTTGGAAAGGAAGGAAACGGGGTGACGTGGCTTCTTAGGAGCCCCCAAAGATTGGATTAAGGGCAGGGGGGAAGGATTGTCCTATTACAATAGAGCTGTCTTAAGAAGTTGAGGAAGGGTGGCAAATAACATTCTCTACGTTTCCCTCCTGCAATTGTAGCCAATAATAATAACACTCTCTAAATTGGCAGAGGAAATAAAACAGATCAGATCTGGAAAGAATTTGGAATCATGCTAGTAGTGGATTTAAGGATAGATCCATCCTAAAAGAGATCTTGGGGGAAAAAAACCCCCTACTTTTGCACCAGCAAACGCTGGAAAAAAATGCACTACCTTTAATTCCAACAGGCTTGGTTAGTTATTGGTTAAGTTTCTGCATAGCCTTTTGATCAGGACGCAGCTACATGCTACACACAAGTGATTCCGTTCTCATATGTGGGAATGCACCATTCAATCTATCTGCAGCCAATTATCTTTCCTCCCTCCCTCCCTCCCTTCCTTTCTTTCCCCCTCCCTCATAAAAATCCTTCCTTCCATCTACATTATAATCTCCCTCTCTCCCCCCTTCCTTCCTCCCTCCCTCCTCTCCCTTCTCCTTCATTCTCCTTCTTTCCTTCCTCCCACCCTCCCTCATAAAAATCCTTCCTTCCATCTACATTATAATCCCTCTCTCCCCCTTTCCTTCTTTCCTTCCTTCCTCCCTCCCTCCCTTCCTTCCTTCCTTCCTCCCGCATAAAAATCCTTCCTTCCATCTACATTATAATCTCCCTCCCTCCCCCTTCCTTTCCTTCTTTCCTTCCTCCTCATCTCAATCAATGACTCTGGACAGCTTACAACTCTCTCTCTCTCTCTCTCTCTCTCTCTCTCTCTCTCTCTCTCTCTCTCCCTCCCTCCCTCCCTCCCTCCCTCCCTCCCCCCTCTCTCTCCCCGCTCTCTCTCTCACACACACAAATTAAAAAAATTAAAAACCTTTAAATACAGTAAATAAAAATAGCATCTTAAATAAATAGGTCTAGCAGCCATCAACAATAAAGCCAGGAAAAGGGGGGACCTTGACATATTCAGTGCCCCAGGCAGGGAAACACAGGCAGGTGCTTAGAGACTCACATAAGACTAAACCTCTCTCCGTGGAACCAGCCCCTGTTGCCCAAAAAGTTGGGGGCCATTGGTCAGTGGTGGTATTCAATTTTTTTTTCCATGTGGGCATGGCTTAGTGCGCATGGCAGGGGAAGGATATACTGCAAAATCCCCCTTCCCTTCCCTCCCCAGCCCACTAACCTGCTTTCCAGCTCCGTTCTCCTGTGCAGGGCAACCAAAGAAGACCCAGCCAATCAGCTGGGACTCAGGAGGCAGAGAAGAGATCAGGGCGGGGCCAGTCAGAGGTGGGATTTGCCGGATCTCCAAACTACTCAATATTTTTGCTACCGGTTCTGGAGAACTGGTGAGAACCGGCTGAATACCACCTCTATACCCTTGGTGTAGAAGATCTTTCTCATAAAAGGGATGGTGAGAATGACCAAGCTATCTCCCCTGTCAGATCAAAACGAAGAGGATTTCCCACCTGGGCCACCGCCGCTCGTTGCAAAGCTGGCGTACACGGGCTGGAACTACTGCCAGAGCCCAGCCTTGCGTGAGGGTTGGTCTCCTGGCCGAGGGCAGCTGACCAGCTGAAGTCTGGCTGGACACCGTAGCTTTTCTGCAGCTTCTTTTCTGCCTGCGAAGAAACCAGCAGCAAGACGGAGCATTGTTATTCCACGGAGGATGTAACTCCATCCCAATTTAAATTTGTTCTCTTCACCCCAAGATCAGATACAGGCATACTCCGTGCATTTCTTGCTAGCCCTTTGCTCTTTTTTCTTTTCTGTTTCCACACAGAAAAACTTAAATCAACAAAATTGAACCTCTTCTGTTCAACAGCAAGAGATACATAACTAAAAAGGCTATTTTTTAAAGAAAAAAAATCGTCTCTTTGTATTGGAGAGTCTATGCTATTTTCCTTCGTGATGTATATGATGGATTGTTTTAATACCCAAGCCCTCTTTGGTGTACTGATATTCAGTATCTCGCTGATCAGATTTTGACCTTAGAATGAGAATAGCCGAGTTGGAAGGGACCCTGGAGGTCTTCTAGTCCAGCCCCCTGCCTAGGCAGGAAACCCTACACCACTTCAGTCCAATCTCTTCTTAAAAACTTCCGGTGTTGGAGCATTTACAACTTCTGGGGGCAAGTTGTTCCTCTGATTAATTGTTCTCCCTGTCAGGAAATTCCTCCTTAGTTCTAGGTTGCTTCTCTCCTTGATTAGTTTCCACCCATTGCTTCTTGACCTGCCCTCTTTGGAGAAGAGCTTGACTTCCTCTTCTTTCTGGCAGCCCCTGAGATACTGGAACACTGCTATCATGTCACCCATGATTTATCAGTTATAGCCTTTATGTTCCGTACAATGAGAGCTTATGCACCGAAGATAAATTCCTTGTATGTCCAATCATACTTGGCCAATAAAGAATTCTATTATGTTCTGTTCTATTTTATTCTAGTTTAATCTATTTCTATTCTTCATTCCAATAGCTATTCTATTCT